TGTAATGCCCAAATCGAAAATCTAAAAAAGATATTATTTTCCCATAATTAATTAAAAATGCATCGAACCTTAAAAATCGAAATATCTCAAAAACGGCTTACTATCACGAAAACTCACAAGAGAGCTTTTCTATATTGAAAAGTGCGAAGAATTAGTTGTTTTATTCAAAAAGCAAAAAATTGCACTAAGAAAACATTTTCGGTCATTTTAATACACTACAGGTACAGTATAGAGCGCCCTCTAGCGGCTACAGTAAAACTATGCCCATGGTTCGTTTTATCGTAACAAAAAAACCCTTGTATACCAATTTTCACTGTTATACATCAAATATTGTTCGAAATATTTAAAAAAAACTATTTTACAAGGTAAATTTAAACACCCTGTATTTCGGAAGCCACGCATTTTTCGACTCACGTTTATATAGACTTTATGCATTAATTTTAAAAGTTCTATAGAATTTTAAAGTTGTGCAACAATAAACTAAAACCTGTATATTGATGTTGCTATACCTAACCTATTGAGAATGATCACTGGAAAGAAGCGAACGTATACAATCCTGCAGATGAAGTGGTGATAATACGGAATTTAGATGAAGGCACAATAGTACCAATTGTACTGTCTACTACGGGAGGTGTACCGAAGGATTTTCACATTAGTATCGAAATACTGGGATTGCAACCAAATTTATTTTAGGCTACTACAGAAAGCTGCTATACTGAACACAACTCGAATAGTGGGACGATTCTTGAGTCAAGAATAGACGAGAGTGCTTGGTGAATACCACCCGCACCTCGCTTTAACCAGGAAGAAAACCTGAGAAAAAGGAGAATAATAATAAATAAAAATCTAACGCAATATCTTATCTTTGGATTACCTTGTATGCCGCTATAGATGAAGAGACGTCCCCGTAGAAATCAAAGTTGACTTGTCTGAGCTTTTTTCCAAAAATATACCAGGAGTGTCACAAATAGGGGTGCGACCTTTTCGTTGGGCCACCCTGCATAACGGCACACGTGATCTTAAAGCTGCTACAGGCAATGCCGCCGGGCTTATGCCGGCACAAGCCGCGCAAAGCCGTCAAGCATCATTCCGGTTGTGACAGTCACATAGAAAGCTATACTACAACTATTTAAAACTGTAATGACTCATACGCGTGATCAACACGTGATCAGAGCTCGATCCCGGCTTCCTTCCAGTACAGCCGTATAGCGTACGACATATGTCGTTTCTGTGGCTTTGCGGTGGTCAACAGCACAGGCAGAGATGGAAATAATGGCTGATTGTTCTCCGCGGGTAGAACCAATGAAATCAAAGACGCGCCTCGACCGGCAGACTCATAGGCGTCGGCAACGCATTGGAACGTGTTTCGTTGAGCGATCGCATATTGTGTGTTTTTATAAGAATTGTTGTGTGATTGTTATTGTTGTGGTTTCTGTGGTTACTGTTTTGGTTATACTTAACCATGGAGAGTACAAATGGCACGAGTGGAAGCACTGAAAGCCAGGGAACAAGTAGACGGCTTCGTAAAGCACTGAAGAGGGACGCGAAAGAAATCGTGCTCAACGTGTTCAATTATCTGAACAGAACTATGTCGCAGGGAGATGCACTCGCGCGTTGTGAAAGTATGACAGGCGTTCCAGAGTGGACCATTGGCAGGGTGGTGCATGAAAAGAAGAAAACTGGAGCTACTACTGATCCAAAGTTTAATTTGAAGGGACGAAAGGCCGTTAAATTGGATGACGATAGCAAAATGGCGTTAAGGCGAACCGTACATTCATTCTTCTTTAGGAATGAGATACCAACCCTCAAGGCTGTACATGCAGCGATCAAGGAAAATGAAATTATACCCCAAATGAGCGTCGAGGTAATGAGGAAATCCCTGCACGAAATTAATTTTCGTTACGAAACGCGTAATCGGAAGTCAGTATTGATAGAGAGACCTGAAATAGTCGCCTGGCGTCGAAAATACCTACGCGAAATGATTGAATATAGACGACAAAGCAGAAAAATCTATTATTTAGGCGAGACATGGGTAAATGCAGGTCACACAGTTAAAAAAACCTGGATAGACAAAAACGTAGTGAGTAACCGACAAGCAAGCATTGAAGGTTTGTCAACAGGTCTTCGTGGACCGTCAGGGAAAGGTCAGAGATTGATCGTAACTCATATTGGTAGCGATAGTGACTTTTTAGAAGAGTGTGACTTGATTTTCGTCTCTAAGAAAGGAGGTGATTACCATGACGAAATGAATGCCAGCTGCTTCGAGAGCTGGTTTCAAGGGGTGCTTCAGCGAGTTGAGCCCAACTCTGTGATTGTCATGGATAATGCTTCCTACCATAGTCGTCGAGCCGTCTATGGGATCTCGAAAAAGTGACATGCAGCAATGGTTGCGCGAAAAAGGAATCCCGTTTGACGATTCATGTGTGAAAGCGGAATTGTATGAAAAAATTAAACAGCACAAACCTGCGAACATTAGTTACGTGACTGATGAGATGGCCCGTCAATGTGGTGTCACTGTGCTGCGGTTACCGCCCTACCACTGTGAACTGAACCCAATAGAGCTCATCTGGGCTCAAGTGAAGGGTTATATTACGCGCCATAACACAACCTTCAAATTACCAGACGTTAAGGTTTTACTTGAGACTTCCATATAGCTAGTAACGCCCGAAGCTTGGCAGAATGCTATCCGTCATGTTGTGAAGGAAGAAACAAAAATGTGGCAGCTTGACCACCACATCGACACCATCATAGAGACAGTTATAGTCAATTTCAACGAGGAAAGCGATAGCGACAGTTTATTACTGTCAGATTTAAGTAGAAGCGACGATGAATAAAGGTAATTCCCAAATTTTTGACTTACAATATGTTTCAAACCACACTTTATTAAGCATGTGACAAATCTAGTTCACCCATGTTAAACATTCATACCCCGCCTATGAGCAGCCGACTACTGGTAGTTAAGTGATGTTCACGTGAACATCGATGAGACATTACAGTTTTAGATAGTTATAGTATAGTGAAGTGCTGCATTTCTGGGATTCCATAATATATCATTTTCATGAAATTTTTCAATTAAGAGCAGCACAACTTCGTCGTCCCAATTAAACGACATTTTAACTTGTTTAAACACACAAACCGCACAACTCTACCGCTCGAATGCCAGGAACGAAGTGACGCCGGCAAGCCGCGTAACCCGCCGGCACATTACGGCGGCTCCTTTGCGCGGCAAGGCCGGCGGCTTTGTATGCCGCCGGGTGTACGGCGGCTTAGCCGGCGGCACTGTGTGTAGCAGCCTTTAGTAGCTGATCCTAGATCTGTGCCATGAAATATTGTATAAACATTTACGCTTCTACCGGACTAATCCGATGTGGAACCATTGATTTTTCATTTAGCCTTGTGATTTACGAGCATCCACCGTTCTCGGCGGCGACCCAAAGATAATTCCAGATACATTGTTCCGCACACGATACACCTCAGAATCATACATCAAACGATCTTGACGTTTCTCTGGCGACTAACGACGCCATAGGTTAAAGGTGCATCTTTACATTCCAGCCACCCCTTGCTGGCGACCCTCGTGATGACAGGACAGGATGTTGTTGGCTTTGTCTGACCATCAATAATAAAATTCATCTATAAAAACGTGACCGCCAGTTTACTTTGCCAAAATATTAAACGCTGTCGTCGGAAACATTTGCAACGATACTTCTGAAGATCTGTATACGATTTTTTGCATGAGCACATTCGTCACAACGCGCCGGGATTCGAATCCGCATCTTCTCCATTCCCCGAAGCCGATCTACCCAAGCCACTGTTCCTTTGTTTTTTCAAGCTGCTTGATGTTCCATCTAGTGGCATCATTTGGAACAATCCGGATTGCTAAGGTATCTTCAATCGCTAAAACGGCAGCCAGTTTTATTTTAGCAACGGAAACAGATGTATTACATACATTTTTACCTTTAGCTTCTGTAAAGAAATACTCGTATTGTTCTTTCCATTCCGAATGGAAATGGTATGTCTTCATCTTCATACTACTGCTCATAATGTTTTTAAATGCAGGCCAACTCTAACCCAACTAACTCTGTGCCGTTCACTTTTGGACTGAGCGCACTGTCGCCGCGCCTAGCGTATTTATTCCGTTCACAGTAATCGAGATCGTTCTCGACCAGATCGCTCACCGCAGTGGCCTTGCGAGCTACCGGTAGCTCGCGATCGACGGGCTCACAACCACTGTAATAGAGAAACAAAAACTCTTTAGTCTTTATGAATGTGCACGCTACATTATTTTTTTATATCGCAATATACAGGGTGCGGCAGTGTGGCATCATTTGGAACAAACCGGATTGGTAAGGTATCTTCAATCGCTAAAACGGCAGCCAGTTTTATTTTAGCAACGGAAACAGATGTATTACATACATTTTTACCTTTAGCTTCTGTAAAGAAATACTCGTATTGTTCTTTCCATTCCGAATGGAAATGGCATGTCTTCATCTTCTTACTACTGCTCATAACGTTTTTAATTGCAGGCCAACTCTAACCCAACTTTGTGCGGTTCAGTTTTAAACTGAGCGCACTGTCGCCGCGCTTAGCGTATTCATTCCGTTCAAAGTAATCGACATCGTTCTCGACCAGATCGTTCACCGCAGTGCCCTTGCGAGCTACCGGTAGCTCGCGAACGACGGGCTCACAACCACTGTTCTAGAGCAACAAAAACTCTTTAGTCTTTATGAATGTGCACGCGACATTATTTTTTTCACATCGCAATATACAGGGTGCGGCAGAGAGGATGGACGGTTTTAAAAAAATCATAAAATAGTTAATTTTTACGCGAAAACAAATTTATTGATGGAATCAGGTTCACGTTTGAGACAGTCAAGTGTGAAAAATCACATCAGGCATGTGGTGGCCGAAATCGTTGATGCAGTGCTGGAGGCGTATCACCAGATACACCTTTGGGTAAGCTGCTAATATTTTTTGTTATCGGAAAGAAAAAACTATCGGTTTATGAAAAAATCATATATTTTCCTATATAATTATTTATATTATATTTTGTATTAGCTATATTTCTTGTACATTTAACCACAATCCTCCTTTTGGGGCAGTAACAAAGAACTGTGTCTCATACTCCAGCGGTGTTTGCGTTTTCTTATTCAAAATTACCCTGAACTTACTTATTATGGCTGTCAGCCCCACTTTGGCTTGGAGTAAGGCAAATCTTGCACCTGGAAATTGATTGTCAGTATTAGAAATAAGAATTGTTAACAGATCATCTTTTACATCTACAACCATCAATCTGTGCCTGTGCCCTATTCTAAAAAATTTGCCGAAAACTCATTTTTGGCCATTGATTTTTTTCACAGTAATGTGTTATTGAAAACCTTTGAACCAAATTCACCCTTCATTTTCATATGGTAACTGATGACCTGTTTTTGCAGCCTGATTCATTTTTGTGCCTAAACCTGCCATACGGTTGAACATTTAGGTTCCTAAGTTGAAAATTGCTACATGATGTTGACCAATTGCTTAAGCATTAGCAATATAAGAAATACGTTTCTGATAACTGAGATAGATTATTTCATTCTTTTAATACCTATGCAGACCCTGGGTCCTTCACCAAACGGCAAGAATGCGTACTGATGTCTTTTACTCTTATTTTCATCACTGAACCTTTCTGGATCAAATTTTTCGGGATCAGGATAGTAATCTGGATCTCTATGTATTCCTTGAACTGGTATGTCTACTCTGGTTCCTTTCTTTATTACTGCATTTGTACCTGGTATGTGGTAGTCCTTGGTGCATATCCTGGGTATATCAGCAATAGGTGGATGCTTTCTTAAGGTTTCTGAAAATATAGCACATCATTTTTCCAAATTACGAACTTCAGTTACTATTGTTTGTTAGTTATACCAATACAAAACGGCTCTGTATTTTTTCAATGTAAGGTACTTTTGAACAAGATAAAGTTCAGCTCCATATTACATCTGAATCAGGGGTTTAATCGTGACTTTGGATTTGACCTTGAGCAGCACTTTTAAAGTTAGTTCGAGGTTTTAATAGAAATTCCCGTTCTTGACACCAGAAGTAAGAAAATGAAAAGCCTTAATTCCGTGTATCTATTAAAGTCTAAGATGAAGGTCATTTCTAAAGGTCGAATGGAGGTTAAATGTTAGGGAAAATTCCTAGAAGCTTAGTAGGGTTGATGAAGAAAATTTTTTCTTAGCAACTTTCAACAATTATTTTAACTGCGACCTTGGTTTGAGCCATTTTACGCTTTAATACGTTATCATGTATTATTACCGTACAGGTAAGATTCAAGGTCAAATCAAAGGTGTACCACTTTTTTCTTAAAAAAAGTCAATACCCGTACACATGGCACTGGTAAAGCTAAAAATTATTTTTGCATTGAAAAATATGCAACTTTATTAACTTTCACTACGTACTAAGTATCAGTGAAATATGTGAAGCGGTTCTGAAAATATTAATTAATTTTCAATTTTTTTCATAAAACTTCAACACCCCGAGTCACATATTTGACCATTTGACCTTCATTCAATCCAGCATTTCCCAACCTTATCCAGCCACGGATCTCTAGGAAGTCAAGCACAACTTTCAAAGATCGCTCATTAAAAAACACTTTCCGTCTTGGGCGGGGGGGGATACATACATGTTGTCGCGAACCACAGTCTTTAGAGATGGCCTCAATCTTAGATTTTGAGGCATACTTGGGCGTAAAACTTCACGTGCCTTCATTTTTCCATTATCAACCTGAATCATCCTCACCAGAGTTCCCCAAACTTTTTTGTGTCGTAGACCCCTTGCCATGTTTTTCCGTGTTGGGTAGACCCCCTACTTACCTGATATTGATTTCCTGTAAATTTCTAACTGTAGTGAAGTTTAGTGTTAAAAACTTAAAGGAAAAACACATGTTAATTTATATATTTATTAATTGAATTTAAATTAAAACTACTCAAAATAAAATTTTGTATCTGTTATGTAAAATATACGTAACATTAAATAAACAGGTGTCTGACCAATAAGTGCCCGCATTGGGAATAAGTGCCCGCATTGAAAAAAAAATAAGAGGGATAAAATAAAAAAAAGTGAAAAATAATAAAAAAAAAAGTTTTTTACTTAAAATAGTACAATAAGCGAGTTCGTTTATTAATTATAACATAAACGTATGTTCTACAATAATTTCACTGTTAGTTTGATTAAATTCTGCTTCTTATACGTTTAAGTTATCTAAAAATAGGCAAAAAATTAACGAATTTTAGTGTGTACCTATCCTTGAATTTTCAGAATTTAAAAAAAAATATTTTCTATAAAAGGGGTTCTTTAAAAAATCTATGCGGGCACTTATTCCCAATGCAGGCATTTATTGGTCAGACACCAATAAACATAAAATAAACTATAAATAAAATAACATAAGCAATAAGGCAATATTTTTAGTGAGAAGGATGAACCTGATGCTTTAATAATAAATTATCAACATTTGGCGTCAATTTTGTAAGGGTTAATCTTAAATCTCCTCGGATAATGATGTCCAGTCGGTTTCTTTTTTTCGTTAGGAGATTGGTAACAGCGCTGAACCCCCTTTCCACTAGGTATGACGATGGAAAGGAAATTAAAAATTTCCTCGCTATATTCCATATATACGGGATAAGTAACGGGTATGTTGTTTTGCAGCCAGAATAGCTGATATCCGTTTCTAAACTGAACCTTAAGTTCTTCGTTTGTACTTAGTTCAGTCAGTTCCTCTTGTATTACGACATTCGTTTCTTCTATGTCACCACATGGATTAATTATCCACGGTGGTATTACCATAGTCAAAATATCCTCAAACCTAGACTCAAAATCTGAATAGAGGGCATTTAAATGCGTCTTCCTGGCAGCTTGTCTGTGACAAATTGCGGAACTGAGAAAATTCGCCCCGTCCAATATTTTGCTTCATTAGTTTAACTCTGGCAAGAAACGGTGATAAGATGGACTTTGTTTCAATCAAATTTAAACTGTCGCCTTGTAATTGCAAATTAACCATATTAAATTTTGTAAACAAATCTGTTAAATAGGCGATGACTGTTTTCCTCTTCATTAAATTTTCCTTTAAAATTTTATCTTTAGTATCCAGAAATTCTAAAATAGTCTCAAAGTGCAAACAATCTTGTCAAACATAAGCCTTTCGACAGCCAGCGTACTTCAATGTGAAGGAGTAATTGATGAAAGTGTTCGTCATTTTCTTCACACAACTGGGCAAATAACCGCGTACTCAACGCGTTGCTTCGGATTCGGTTTACTGCATCAATGACTAAATGAAGTGATTCATGCAATCTAACACTCAAATTTTTAACAACTAAATGTTGTCGATGGATGACGCAATGTATTGCTAACACCCCTGACACATTTTGTTTTAAATAGCTTATAAATCCACGATAACATCCAACCATGGAGGTGCTCCATCTGTAGCTACTGATATTATATTTGATAAAGGAATTGCTTTTTCAATGAAGTAATCCTTCAAAACATGAAATATGGATTCACCTTTAGTGTCGGTTATCAAAGTTCTTGCGAAGAGCAGTTCTTCGTAGATTTCTTGATTCATAATAAAACGAACATATGCCAATAATAATGCTGCATTATCAGGTAAAGTTGACTCGTCCAGTTGTATAGAGAAATGGGTCGTTTGCAAATAATTACATAAGAAGCTTTCAATATCAGAACTCATTTCATCAATACGTCTTTCAACAGTATTGTTGCTTAAGGGAATTCTTTTAATGATATCAGATGCAGGTTTGTGTAAAACAGTTTTTAAAATCTTCAACGGCTGGCAAAATTAACTTCTCTCCGATAGTATGCGGTTTTCCGGATTTTGCTATAAGTAACGAGATATTGTAAGACGCCCGCAAACCATAATCATTTATTTGTGACGTCGAAGCGAACATTCTGTCCAGTGTAGGTCTCTTCTGAAATTTATCTTTGAGTGTTTGAAAGTATTTCAAATCTTTCTCTGTTTTATCAGGGTGGCATCTTCTCAGATGATCTTGCAGTTTAGATGGTTTCATAGCGTCATTGCCCAAAACTTTGTTGCATAAAAGGCACATAGGCGATTGTTTGTCCGGCAATGATGGAATGAAGCCAAATTTCAAATAATCAACACTGTACTGTCAACATTTCTTTTTAGATTCGGACATGGCATCAGTCATCTGTGGGCAAAATTAAATTATTTAAATAAGACAGAAAATCCAACAGCTGTATATTAAAGATATATTTTGATTTTTCCGAAAACATTCCATAACTCGAACATCTTCTTGCAACAATTAGCTCGAATTACGGAGATTGCACTGTAATTATATTACCGATTGGTAAAACTTTCAAAAAGAAACTATTAAGGAGTACTCGTGTAATTTTGCATGATTGAATATTTAACTACTAAATAAGTCATGATTGGCGTAATTTATCTATTTTTGCTAACTACGAGTACAAAACTAAAATTTAATAAAAAATAATGTACTTACTCTTCTCCAGCACTCTCAAACAAAATAACACTGACTCACTATAATTTGTGTGATATACTATCTGTTTATATTTTTTAAAATATTTTCTTAGCACTTTCCTTTTCAAGATTCAGGAAACGAATAAACGTATTTGTCCCACATTCGTATTTATAGAGTGACGAATTGAACAAGTCAGTGCAAGGTAGCGAAGCTCTGAGACTGCGACTCTCAGGTTTTTACAAGTTCAAAATGTATTGCGACCACAAAGCGAATACCAACATCCTACAACTTACACAATTTTATAAACATATATAATAAATTTTTTACTTCATAGGTACTTTTATAAATAATGTATATGTTTTGATATTATAAGATAGTATGATGTAAGTAAATAGTTACTATCAGTGTTATGTGTTGAGATCCACTATCCATATTCATTTCATGGACCCCCAAATTTTTTTCGCTGACCTAGACCCCTTGCAGGTTGTCATAGACCGCTAGGGGTCGATATAGACCACTTTGGGAATCAATGATCCTCACCATGAACTATTTTATCCAAGTAAGTCATCTCCATGATAGCCTCATAGGTGATTTGATGTCCATGTCTGCCCAAAACTTCAGTGATCTCCCTCCTTAGCTTTTCTTGAATGTCCTGATTAACAGCTAACTCGTACAGCGCAAACGTCATCGTAGTCGCAGATGTCTCGAAGCCGGCAAAGAAAAACACAAAGCATTGAGCCGCTATCTGGTTTTCAGTCAGCCAACTTCCGTCACGATTTTCGTCCTTACCTTCGAGTACTTTATCGTCCTCACCGATCGTGCCCCTATTTTTCAGCTGCAGCATTAGCTGCATAAAGTCTCTCCTGAAAAATCCAATAAACGGGTACGACAGTTTTATGATGTTCCATAATTATGCTTTATTGCGTTTGAATTGCTTTTAGCTTCAAGCCTCGCAAGCCCGACTGACTGGAGTTTTGAGATTTCCAGTGAAACGCGCTCGAAATACTGCATAGTAAAAGTCTATCTATTCGTTTTACGCGGCCTTCATTTTCAATTGTTTTTAATCTTCTAAAATGTTGGTTATTTAGGTATGCTGTTATTTAGTTTTTAATATCAGCTGATGAATCTCATCAAGCCGAAGTGTTAACTTATGAATCCCACTGAGATACATGGTGATCAAATGAATGAAATTTCGCATTGACAGTTTTCAACACGGCGATCAAAAGTCCCAATGGGGCCAACCCCCTGACACCCCTATTTTACCCCCGAAAGATCCCAGAAACCCTCAAGTAGGGGAACTTGTTTTATTAATACTCCAACTGTATACGTAATTCGTTATAGCATTATACTAACTTATACATAAATAAATTCATTAGACTTCAACTGGAACTGCAAATTTTTTCACTTGTTATTTACAGTAAGATAAATACATTCACCAACTTTTATTAAAATAAAACCATTTAAACTGGGTGTTCGGATTTATATGTCACTTAGTATATAGGGTGTCCCAGAAGTCGACGTCAAGCCGAAACCGGGTGATAGGCAAAGTCATAACAGCTATCAGAAAAATATTTAAAAAAATTTTATGTTTGTGTTTTGAAAATTATAGGTCTTTGAAAAAAATATAGAAATTCCACACCCTACGGCAGTCTGTCAACTCCTGTTACTACAAATATTAACTTTTTTTGGATTTTACTTTTACAATGTAATGATGAATAATGCATCTTCAAACTGGTGTCTCAACCTTACTGCCAACTTTTCTCGTTCAGGAAAAATTGCCACTTATTTCCGAACCAAGTATTCCAAAGTAAAACTTTGCTCAACTTTAACTGGCTGTACTGGAAAAAAATGTACTACGAGAGTTTGACAAGTAACCTTAAAAGTTGGCGCATTTAATAAGGATTCCAAAATGGTATAACACTTAGAAGATTACTCGTTAACTTATGCACAATTTTTATTTGAAGAAAAACTGATGAAAATTTTTCAAAGTTTCCTAATTAAACAGCGATTATGAAAACGCACAAGGACCCTTAAGGATAACTGTTTGCACAACAGTGGGCGTCAAAATGCTGCTGATGATGATTTACCTTTACAGCAAATGCTTTTTCTTTTACAGTTCCCCAGTAAAAAAGATCTAACGGATTCAAATCTGGTGACCGGGCTGGCCACGGTATTGTACCAGACCGCCCTATCCATCTGCCTGGAAAGTTTTGATCGAGATACTCTCTCACTGAGAGTGCATAGTGCGCTGGGCAGCCATCATGCTGAAACCACATATCCCTGTAAATACTCAGTGGCACGTCCTCCAATAAATTTTCTAAATGATTTTGCAAAAAACCTAAATAAACCTCAGCAGTCAAAGTCTCTGGGAACTCAAACGGACCGATTATTTTACCATTTAAAATTCCTGTCCAATGGTTTATCTTGAAGCGATATTGAGATTTATCTTCTCTCATCAAATGTGGGTTTGCTACGTGCCACTCGTGTAAGTTATGCAGGTTCATGTACCCATCTTTCTTAAATGTGGTCTCATCCGACCATAAAATTTTTTCAAAGAACTGTGGAACTTTCCCGTGTCTTTCTAACATTGTGCGAGAAAAAGCAACTCGGGGCTCATAATCCCGGGGCAGGAGAGGTCGAACACGCTGTATGTGGTATGGATGAAGCACATTACTTGCTGGCTATTGCACATTTTGATACCGATCAGTACTCTTTCGTTTACTGCGCATCTTTACATGTTCGTGCTTGTTGATTTCGTACTGTTACTAATTTTGGTTTCGTGAACTGAACTATTGATCGCTTGTGATTTGGATTTGGACTGTTTAATTGCTCTTCAAACCAACATTTGCTTTCCTTAGACTATCTTTGCAGTGCCGCTATGTCCGTGTACACCGTACAAGAATATGCTAACATGCACCTCATTTATGGGGAATGCAGATGCAACGCTAGTGCTGCAGCGAGACTTTACTGTGAGAGGTACCCGAATGCAGCTCGTCATTCAGATCATCGAGTGTTCACAAATGTGCACCGCTTACTGTTCTCAGAGGGCCAACTACCAAACCAATCACACGGTGAGGGAAGATCTTTCCTTCCTTACGAAGACGTGGTGCTAGGAGCTGTCGAAAAAGACCCGAGTACTTCAGTGCGTGCAATAGAACTAAAAACAGGTGTGCCCAAAAGTACAGCCCATAGAATCTTGCAAAAAAACGTGCTCCATCCATACCACGTACAGCGTGTTCAAGCTCTTCTGTCCGGGATTATGAGCCCCGAGTTGTTTTTTGTCGCACAATGTTAGAAAGACACAGGGAAGGTACACGGTTCTTTGAAAAAATTTTATGGTCAGATGAGACCACATTTGAGAAAGATGGGTACATGAACCTGCATAACTTACACGAGTGGCACGTAGCACACCCACATTTGATGAGGGAAGATAAATCTCAATATCGCTTCAAGATAAACCATTGGACAGGCATTTTAAATGGTAAAATAATCGGTCCGTTTGAGTTCCCAGAGACTTTGACTGCTGAGGGTTATTTAGGTTTTTTGCAAAATCATTTAGAAAATTTATTGGAGGACGTGCCACTGAGTATTTACAGGGACATGTGGTTTCAGCATGATGGCTGCCCAGCGCACTAAGCACTCTCAGTGAGAGAGTATCTCGATCAAAACTTTCCAGGCAGATGGATAGGGCGGTCTGGTACAATACCGTGGCCAGCCCGGTCACCAGATTTGAATCCGTTAGATTTTTTTTACTGGGGAACTGTAAAAGAAAAAGTGTATTTCAAGCCGATTCAAAATGCAGCTGAGCTACGGCAAAGACTATTGGAAGCAGCTGAGTTTGTTAATAACCGTGGATTCGCTCGTTTAATAACCCGATCTTTTTTAAGAGGATGTCGAGCGTGTATTGTGGCTGAAGGAAAACAGTTTGAGCATTTGCTGTAAAGGTAAATCATCATCAGCAGCATTTTGACGCCCACCGTTGTGCAAACAGTTATCCTTAAGGGTCCTTGTGCGTTTTCATAATCGCTGTTTAATTAGGAAATTTTGAAAAATTTTCATCAGTTTTTCTTCAAATAAAAAATGAGCATAAGTTAACGAGTAATCTTCTAAGTGTTATACCATTTTGGAATCCTTATTAAATGCACCAACTTTTATGGTTACTTGCCAAACTCTCGTAGTACATTTTTTTCCAGTACAGCCAGTTAAAGTTGAGCAAAGTTTTACTTTGGAATACTTGGTTGGGAAATAAGTGGCAATTTTTCCTGAACGAGAAAAGTTGGCAGTAAGGTTGAGACACCAGTTTGAAGATGAATTATTCATCATTACATTGTAAAAATAAAATCAAAAAAAAGTTAATATTTGTAGTAACAGGTGTTGACAGACTGCCGTAGGGTGTGAAATTTCTATATTTCATAAAATTTTTTTAAATATTTTTCTGTTAGTTGTTATGACTTTGCCTATCACCCGGTTTCGGCTTGACGTCGACTTCTGGGACACCCTGTATGTGACAGTCATTGATTCAAAGGTAAGGCCCTTAAATCTCATATCCAAAAACGGTATCCCTGAAATTGAATGAAAAAATGTACGGTTCAAAACTTCATCCTAAGTGTTAGTCGATGCAAAATCTCACCTGTTGATATTGTTGTCTTCCCTATACCTCATGGTATTTCGGACTACATTTAAGAAGAAAGCCTCAACGCTTGCATCAGTTAGCTTGAAGTTGATCGCCTTCAAGAGACTCATAGGCAACAGAACGGCTACTGTTTGTCTGATCCTCCTTCCAATCGCATGGCTATCAAATACCTTCCTCCCGTATACTATAAAGTCACAATCCGGGTCATTAATGCTGTTGCAATCGATGCCAAATCCTACTGAACCGATAACGTCTGTCGTGAACCTGGACAGAACGTCTTTGATATCGACGACGCCATTGAGCCGCTCGTTTTCTTTTAAAAGCCCTGCTAGCCCTTCAGTACATGCTGTCATTGTCGAAAACATCATCTTCAATTTACCTACGGAGGATGACAGAATTATAATAAAAATAATATTTATTCAGGGTGTTGCTTAATGATATGCGAATATTTAAGGGTGTGAATCTAGATGAAAAATTAGTGTTAGTTTGCTTTATAAACTATGGTCCAAAAATGTTTCCTTACAAAAACTCGGGTTGCATATTTTTCAATGTAAAAATAATTTTTAGCATTAACAGTGGCATGCGTACGGGTCTTGACTTCGATATTTTTTAAGAAAAAAATGGTAGGCCAATGGTTTTTACCAAATAAAAATTATTGAGTTGCTTTCCTTCTATGCGCCATTTTTGAGTAAAAGAAAATTAATGTAATAAATTGAAGAATACAATTTAGCAATAAATATCTAGTTGCTCTGGAATATGTCACTGGCGGAAATGCATTACTTATATGGCCTTGCCGACGATAATGGTGACCAAGCCAGACGGATTTATCACCAGAGATAACCAGATCGTGCTCTGCCAGATAGTCGAACCTTTTCTAATATTCATCGTCGTCTTGTTGAAACTGGTTCTGTCCGAAAAGGAACGTCTGAAAGTAGACCTCTAAGTGTGAGAACACCTGAAATTGAGGAAGCAGTGATGCACGAAGTCGAAGAACATCCTGAAACGAGTACGAGGAAGATCGCTAGACTCTTAAATATTTGCCATCAAATTTGTTGGAGAATTTTAGTGGATTTTTTTGTTATATCCCTACCATATTTTAAGAGTACATTACTTTCCATTGATTTTACAAGGCGTGTGACTTTTTGTCAGTGGTCTCTTCAAAAAATTACACAAAATGCGTAATCTCAATCGATGATTCTGTTCACGGACGAAGCTAATTTTTCTCGAAATGCCATTCAGAATTTCCACAATAATCATTTGTGGGCAGGTGAAAATCCCTATGCCCTAACCGAAACCCATTTCCAACACCAATTTTCGGTTAACGTAAGGGCAGGAATTATTGGCAACCGCTTTATTGGCCCATTCTTCTTACCGGGACGACTTGACGGATAGACGTACGTCAATTTTCTTCAACAACAGTTGCCTTTGCTGCTTGATGATGTTCTGTTAGTAATAAGAAACAACATGCGGTACATGCATGCTAGTGCAGCAGCGCATTTCAGTATAGCGGTTGGTAATTATTTACAAACTGTTTATCCAAATCGTTGGATTGGCCGCGGTGGGCCCCAAGAATGGCCACCAAGGTCCCCAGACCTCAACAATTTCTTTTTATGGGGCTATCGTGAGACACTAGTGTACACAAGTCCCATTAACACCGTAGAGGAATTAAACAAACATTATTTATTTTACTGAAAAAGGCCCATTATAAATTGAGATTCGGCAAACCATTTTTACATAAAACGTATTTGTTTTTAATTGTAGTGGATAATTATTATTTTGCTTTAACTTACCCTCGCTACTTTCGCTTTCGAACTCATCGTCCATCTTTTGTTTTTTGATGGCTAATTGAAGTAGTTTTGCAGTTCTCTTGCTCATATTTCCCTATACTATACAACTACTTGAGCAAAACACACAACCAATTGCTTAAGCATATAGGAGAAACAACACGGGCATCGAGGTAAATGAAACTGAGCCAAATAATAACGCGTAACGGATTATGCACGTCGCATCTCAGACATGAACGGACAAGTCTCAGAGTGTCTGCTTGCAATATTGTGTCTGCTAAAAGTGTCTGTTTTGGCCTCACGATGAATGTTGTTGTGTCTGCATTAGGTGTCTGTTTTGGCCTGGTACACTCAAGTCTAACTGGAAGACCAGGACAGACACCCGTGTCTGTTTATAAAATATTGTGGTGGTCCTACATGATAGATAGTAAAAATGTGCGTGGCGCTTAATGCGTTAAGAGAAAGAATAGTTGCAGCTTGTGATAGAATAAAAAACATTCCAGGGAGATTTCAACGAGTGGGACCATTTTCAACAATTTTTGTAATCATTTCGTTGGTTTTAATGTTATGTTTATGTTGTCAGTTATTGTTTTTCATTACCCCTACTGTGTTTAGTTTCTCAAATTAGATTAATAATAATTTTGCAAGTTAGACAATAGTACGGTTTTTCTTTTTTTACTCAAAAATGGCGCATCGAAGAGAAACAAATCAAAACAGATCATTTGTTTAAAATTGAACGGGAAATGCAAAAATAAGTTTTATTTCGCAAAAAACCATTGGCGTACCATTTTTTCTTGAAAAATATCGAAGTCAACACCCGTACGCACGCCACTCTTGAAGCTAAAAATTATTTTTGCATTGAAAAATATGCAGCTTTATTAACTTTCACTACGTACTAAGTATCAGTGAAATATCTGAAGCGGTTCTGAAAATATTAATCAAAATCCATTTTTTTCCTAAAACTTCAACACCCCGAGTTTTTGTAAGCAAACATTTTTGGATCATAGTTTATAAAGCAAACTAAAATTAATTTTCATACCCTTATACAGGGTGACTTGTAATGTCACGTATTCCTGTTAAGGGGTGATAGATTAGGTCAAAAGCAACCGATTTTGTCAATTCATGTCTTATCCAAAAGTTAACCATTATTGAGTTATTTGATTTCAAGTTTTTTATTTTTTATTCCGATTTCAGACGGCTAACATTGAAATACAAAAAAACTGCATGCTTGATTCTGAGTTTTTTGTTATCGTGGCATAGCAGACATTCCAATAGTTCATAATAAGTAATAAAACGTTGAAAAACTACAAACGTTTTAAAATTACGCTTTTTAAATGTATCATTTTCTTTTTTTTTACTTGTTCGATAAAAAATTTTCTCTAAAAAATCTCCTAGCAATGAAATGTGCAAATTATGTAAATAATATACTAAGTGACATATAAATCCGAACACCCAGTTTAAATGGTTTTATTTTAATAAAAGTTGGTGAATGTATTTATCTTACTGTAAATAACAAGTGAAAAAATTGTTAGCCTTATCAGTTGGACATTCCGGTCTTTATACTGCTTTTTTTTTAATTCACTAACAGCTCTAAAAATGAATATTTCAGCCGCAGTAAAGAATCAACGTTGGCGGATTTTGGTTGTTGACATCCTTTACGATCGGTTACGATGCCTAAAGTACGGAGATCTGTACGATTTCGTCAACTTAGTGAGTTTGATAGGGGCCGTAAAGTGGGACTTCGGGAAGCTGGACTTTCTTTTCGGGCAATTGCAGTTAGAGTGCAAAGAAGTGTAGACACTGTGGTTAGGTGTTGTTAGGCATGGCTTCGAGGAGGCCGTACGCAAAGGGCAAGGGGCACTGGACGCCGCCGTAGAACAACAGACCGTGAAGATCGCCGCCTAAAAGTATTGGCCTTAAGGGACCGTTTCTCCACTACCAGGTCCATTGCAAATGAATGGTTTGCAGAACACGGAAGACCTATTGGCATGCGAAGTGTTTACCGACGAATGAGAAGTTTTGGCTTGTTTTCGTACCGGCCACACTGGGTCCTCCCTTTAACTCGAGAACACCGACGTAATCGCCTTGAGTGGTGCAGACAACGGTCACTCTGGGATCAGGAATGGGACAGTATTGTCTTTAGTGACGAGTCTCGATTTTTTTTAGGCATGCACGATGGTCGTGCCAGGGTTAGAAGGCGACGTGGTGAAAGGAGGAATCCACAGTTTTTTGTTGAAAGACATGTTCATCACACTGTTGGAGTTATGGTTTGGGGTGCTATAGCTTATGGTTCCAGGTCACCTTTAATCTTCATCAGAGGTAACATGAACGCGCAGCGTAATATCCACGAAGTTCTAGCACCCCATCTTTTACCCTATCTTGTCACCCTGGCAGATCCAACTTTCCAACAAGATAATGCCCGACCACATGTTGCAAGAGTCACAATAGACTTCTTTCAACATAACGATGTCACATTGTTACCATGGCCACCAAGATCTCCCGACTTATCCCCAATTGAGCACGTGTGGGATATGATGGGTAGGAGATTGCTCAATTTGCAACGTCCTCCTCAGACTCTAGCAGCACTTCGAGAGGAGTTGGTGGTTGCCTGGAATGAGATACCACAGGAGGACATTGAGCTGATCAGAAGCATGCATAGGCGCGTTGGAGAATGCGTAGCACATCAGGGTGCATCCACACATTATTAAAGGTCAAAGGGCTTTAAAGCAGTGCAAACATATTGAAATTTTTATCATTTACTTATTATGCTTTATTAAGTACTTATCCAAAATTTTATTAAAATAAAACCATTTAAACTGGGTGTTCGGATTTATATGTCACTTAGTATATCTCTATCTAACAAGCTTTCATTTGAGGTATTAGGCGTTCAATTATCTGAAGTACATGCAGAGAAACAACAATGACACCCACAGATGCTGGATTTTTAAGGAATTTGTAATACCTGTTTGAACAAGTCGTTACTGACCTCAAAGGACTCGCAAGAGCTGACTTAGTGGAGGAGTGAGAGAGAGAGCTGTTATTATTCATCATTGTAGTTACGCCATCGCCGCACGCCGAGTGAGAATTAGATTTAGTTGGTATCAACTACTGCGTACGCGCACACGTTTTACGTACGATTATTACTTTCGAGTTTCCCAGTTCATTTCGAGTGGTTTCTTTATCATCATGGCAGACGCAGAAGATCCGCCAGGACCTCGCCATAGCGAGCACGGGCAAACTTTTACAAATGAAGAATACGCAGACATAATATTCTGTTATGGACTTTGTAACGGCGATTCTGCAGCTGCCCGCCGTGAATATCGGCAACGTTTCCCGAATCGCCGAACACCTCATGTTACTGTGTTTGACTCTGTGTATCGGCGCATCCGCCAAACCGGACGTCTTCAAAGGTAACATAGTGATGCTGGTCGACCCCGAGTCTATCCTCCTGAAGATGAAGAGGAAATCCTTCGTGTGTTTCAGGAAGACCCTACTACGTCTACGCGCACTGTGACTGCTCAGCTGGGTATATCACAATACAAAGTATGGTTTACCGTGCATACTGCAAGATTATACCCTTATCACTACACGCCTGTGCATGTGATCGAAGAGGGCGATCCTGCAAGACCATTAGACTTCTGCAGGTACATGTTACATGCAGATACAGAAGATCCAGACTATTTTAAGAAAATTCTGTGGACCGATGAATCGAAGTTTGATCAGGACGGGATCACTAACTACCATAATGCTCATTACTGGGCTGATAAAGAAGCTTTAAACCCCCGAAAAATAAGACCGACGGGGTCTCAGAGCCGGTTTTCAGTCAATGTGTGGATGGGCATCATTGATGGATATTTAATTGGACCTCAGTAAGAGAATGCGGGCGTGTATTCGTAACAGGGGATTACAATTTGAGCAGAATCTGTAAAATACTAAAGGAAATGTAATTAAATAAAGCTGTAATTAAAATGAAAGCCTTTTATTTATCCTACTTAATTATCGTTCGTACAACTTTACTCATCTTTTTTAATTTTATGTCTTTGTACTTGAGTTAGTTGTAACTTTTATACCTCAAATGAAAGCTTGTTAGATAGAGATATTATTTACATCATTTGCATGTTTCATTACTAGGAGATTTTTTTACAGAAAATTGCATTTTTTATCGAATAAAAATAAGAAAATCATACATTTCAAAAGCGTAATTTTAAGACTTTTGTAAGTTTTCAACATTTTATTACTTATTATGAACAATTGGAATTTCCGCTATGCGAGGATAACAAAAAACTCAAAATCAAACATGTAGCTTTTTTGTGTTGCAAGTTTAATCGTCTGAAATCGGAATAAAAAATAAAATTCAAATAACTCAAAAACGGTTAACTTCTGGGTAGGACATTATAGGACAAAATCGGTAGCTTTTGACCTAATCTGGTACCCCTTAACAGGAATACGTGACATTACAAGTATATTCGCATATAATTATATCATAGTTCCATTTCATAGTCTGCCTGTTTTTTTGCACGCAATGATTAAGCCATGGAAGTCTTGCCCTAACTTGCCTGCTCTTTCTGCCGTATAGGTAACTGCTCTCAGTATTTGCACCTTATTCTTAGCGTGTTGAAAAAAATCATTACGTGGCCATCAAATTGGACACTCGTCGAGAAAACCGTCAACAATTTTGAGTCGATTGAACAAGGATTTGCTTTTGATTGAAACAAGGTCATCGATAGTTTCCTCTGAAGTGAAAAATACCATCTAAACATACTGGTTGTGTCTGTCCAACCACAAACAATTAACCATAGACAGATGTTTTGTGCTATTTAGTAACTTATCCTCATCGGCTAGGCTTAGCCTCAGATCAGCATAGCAACTAACTGAGGTATAAGATCTATCGAAACAAGGCAGTATAAGGTGTCATCTATTGCCAGACTCGGCTAATTTCAACAGTTAGCATATTATATTAAAGCAGTAAAAGAAGACAAAGGAAAATGTACTTACCACAAAGTGGGTCTTCGATGGGATGCAGCGTTTACCGTGGGCTGACTGACTTTCTTTGGTTAAATTACCAACAATCTTTAATTTAGTTTCCTCATTTACGTAGTCGTCAAACAGAGATAAGACAGAGACCCCATGTGTTGACAGAACTTTTGTCAAGCTGCTTTTGACATGGTTTCGTCAATTCTTTCATAAGCCTTCATCGCCTTGTACCTCTAAAGTGCATTGCAACCACGGTTTCACGTAGCTATGTAGTCACCGTGAACAAGCAGATATCTAACAGAGCCGCCTTCCCGGATATTACAGAACAAAACTTGCTGGTACTTGTCCATTAAAGGGAAGTTTTTAACCGGTAATATACTAAGTGACATATAAATCCGAACACGCATTTCAAATGGTTTTATTTTAATAAAATTTTGTATAAGTACTTAATGAAGCATAATAAGTAAATGATAAAATTTTCAAAATGATTGCACTGCTTTAAAGCCCTTTGACCTTTAATAATGTGTGGATGCACCCTGATGTGCTACGCATTCTCCAACGCGCCTAGACATGCTTCTGATCAGGTGGTCAATGTCCTCCTGTGGTATCTCATTCCAGGCAACCACCAACTCCTCTCGAAGTGCTTCTAGAGTCTGAGGAGGACGTTGCAAATTGTGCGATCTCCTACCCATCATATCCCACACGTGCTCAACTGGGGATAAGTCGGGAGATCTTGGTGGCCATGGTAACAATGTGACAGCATTATGTTGAAAGACATCTATTGTGACTTTTGCAACATGTGGTCGGGCATTATCTTGTTGGAAAGTTGGATCTGCCAGGGTGTCAAGATAGGGTAAAAGATGGGGTTGTAGAACTTCGTGGATATAACGCTGCGCGTTCATGTTACCTCTGATGAAGATTAAAGGTGACCTGGAAACATAAGCTATAGCACCCCAAACCATAACTCCAACAGTGTGATGAACATGTCTTTCAACAAAAAACTGTGGATTCCTCCATTCACCACGTCGCCTTCTAACCCTGGCAAGACCATCGTGCATGCCTAAACAAAATCGAGACTCGTCACTAAAGACAATACTGTTCCATTCCTGATCCCAGAGTGACCGTTGTCTGCCCCACTCAAGGCGATTACGTCGGTGTTCTCGAGTTAAAGGGAGGACCCAGTGTGGCCGGTATGAAAACAAGCCAAAACTTCTCATTCGTCGGTAAACACTTCGCATGCCAATAGGTCTTCCGTGTTCTGCAAACCATTCATTTGCAATGGACCTGGTAGTGGAGAAACGGTCCCTTAAGGTCAATAATCTTAGGCGGCGATCTTCACGGTCTGTTGTTCTACGGCGGCTTCCAGTGCCCCTTGCTCTTTGCTGTTGCCTTCTCGAAGCTATGCCTGACAACACCTAACCACAGTGTCTACACTTCTTTGCACTCTAACTGCAATTGCCCGAAAAGAAAGTCCAGCTTCCCGAAGTCCCACTATACGGCCCCTATCAAACTCACTAAGTTGACGAAATCGTACAGGTCTCCGTACTCTAGGCATTGTAACCGATCGTAAATGATGTGATTCTTTACTGCGGCTGAAATATTCATTTTTAGAGCGTTAGTGAATTAAAAAAAAACAGTATAAAAACCGGAATGTCCAACTGATAAGGCTGAAAATTTTTTCACTTGTTATATACAGTAAGATAAATACATTCACCAACTTTTATTAAAAAAAAACCTTTTTAAACTGGGTGTTCGGATTTATATGTCACTTAGTATATGTTTTAGTTCATGCAAAACTAGGGAGTATGCGTTTGAAAAAAGAACTATCATTCTTTTGGGACATACTGTGTATGGGTTATTACAATTATTTACAACAACAACAACGCCTTGCAGTTTACTTACTTACCAGATGTGAAAGCTGGGGTCAACTTAACCCTAACGTTCCTCCATTTGTCGTCCTCCAATCGAAACAAGTGTCCACTCAGCGGGTCCGCTTCTTCATTCACAAAGAAACCGTGGTTCATGAAATGCACAAAATCCGTTTGCATCACCCTCTTGATCAACTCAAGATCGACCACAATGAGCGAAGGTGCGGTCAAAAAATAGTATCCACTGAACTGCCACCCTCTTGATTTAACCTCGTTGTATATATCTTGAAATTGATTTCCCAAAGATATTTCCCTTTTCAAAAGCCTCTTGACGTTTCCGTACAAGAATGCTGGTTCAAGATGTTGGATGTGTTTCCTTCTCCAATAGGACTGCGCCCATTTTACGTACAAGTAAGAAATAGCTATGAGGCTTGCTATGATGTAGGCGAATGGTGTGAGATCCATAATGTTTTTGTTCTGAAAAGACGCAATATTTTTTAAATATACAACGATCTGGACATCCAAGTAAAAATGTGTTCATGAATCCTTCAGGAGTAATATTACTTTACAAGCTATCTGGCAGACAAATTGGAAAAGCCAAAGCTTCACGACGGTCGTTTTTACTTTCACCAAATGCAGGGTGGCGCATCGAAAACGAAACAGACGCATTTACTGGCAGCACAGTTTTTTTTGAAAAACGCGCAGGCCCGTCGATTTTGTGTTCAAGGGGACACAAGTTTAGCAAAAAATCACGTTAGCACGTGCAGCCCCCTAAGCGGGGGTGACACCACCCCCAAAATCTTAAATGGAAAGGGGGTCGAGTGATATCTTATTTTAAAGGTCTTTCAATTCCCTTTATAATGATATAAAATTAATGTACTTCAGTTCAGTAGTTTAGAAGATTTATTGATTTAAAGCTTAAATAAAACTAATACATCATCATTAGTGGAGATCAATACATTTGGCAGCAAAGTAATTTAATAATGAAGAATGAACTGACCCGTTAGGCAAGTAAATGTTGCGTTTTTTATTGGCGACTGACCCAGTTTCCTGAAATGTAGCTACAAGTTCTAGAACGTATTTTCGATGCACGTTATTGTTCTCATGTCGCTCATTAAATATTTCTGCTGTTCTATTAGCGCACTGATTATTTCCGAAAAATATTTCGATAATAATAATAATAATAATAATAATAATAATAATAATATTTATTTACTTTAAAATACAAGGAACATGAAACGAGTAAATAAATATAATATATCCATAGGAGGACAACGCCTGTGCATGGATCATATGTATGTTGAATTGCAAAATATAATAAAATAGAGAGAAAAAAGAAATTATTGGTAGAGCATTTATTGTGTAATATTTGAGATTATTTTATTAATTTGATTTCTCCCAATCGTGTTAATAAATTTTTTTAATTTTTTTGAAGCCTAATGTATTGCGTAATTGTTTTAAATTATTTGGTAAATGTTCGTACAATTTTGGAGCTATATACAGGTGACATCGTTTCATTAGGGATTTGTTTGGTTTAGGAACATTTTTTGCGCGTAATTTATATCTGGTTTTATGATTATGTTTAATTATGTCGTGTTCACTAATAGTTTTGTGATAATGAGTGATGTATGTAAGAAGTAAAGTTGTTTAGTTTCATATACTTGTGCATCATTATATAAGTCATTAGTTGGGTATAATTTTGATTTGCCTAACATTGATTTTAAAATTCTTCTTTGAAGTACATCTAAATCGTTAAAGTATGTCGTGCATGCAGCACCCCACACTACTATACCATATGTTATGTGTGGCTCGACTAAAGCTTGATATATTATTCGTAGATAATATTGAGTTAATATATCGGTTAGAAATTTTATTTTATATGCTATAAATCTAATTTTCTTTAGTATGTGAGAAATATGTACATCCCATCTCAAGTGGGGATCTAGATAAATTCCTAAATATTTTGTATCATTAACTCTATTGATTTTTATATTTTTATCATTTACCTTAAACCGAAGGTGGTTATATTTTGGTAGATGATTAGATAGTGATGAAAATGGTAAAAAATGAGTTTTAGTAAAGTTAATTGTTAATTTTCGGTTATTAAACCACTGAATAATTTTGCAAAAGTCATTTTGGATAATATCTTTTAAGTCGTTCCAATCCTTACCTTTATAGAGTATAGCAGTATCGTCTGCAAAACTGACTATTTTACCAGTACTGTTAATTTTGAATATATCGTTTAAATAAATATTGAATAACAGAGGACCCAAAATTGTACCTTGTGGAACACCACATTTAACAAACATTTCTTTACTATACGAGCTTAATTTTACTGATTGCGGTCTATTTGATAAATAATTTTCTATTAAAGTATACATCTTTCCACGAAAACCTATTCTTTCTAAGATTTCCAAAAGTATATTGTGGTTAACTGTGTCAAAAGTCCACAAATACGCATATCGATGGTACTTTTCCATCTATATTTTGGGTTATTTCATCTACTATACTTAATACCCCATCTGTTGTAGATTTGCCCGCTATAAAACCATATTGATTTGAATTTAGAATTTTGAATTTATTAAGAAAATTAATCATTTTATTAAGGAGTAATTTCTCAAAAACTTTAGCTAAACTTGATATAAGTGAAATAGGTCGATAGTTAGTGACGTTCGTATTATCATTAGATTTATAGATAGGTGTGATGATTGCTGTCTTGAAAGCTGATGGAAATACTCCAGATTGGAAGGATTTGTTAATGATATAAGCAAGTGGTTCTGTTATTTGTTTGGCCAGTATCTTTAGATGTTCAGTTCTAATTTCGTCAACTCCAGGGCTTTTTTTATTTTTTAGAGTCATAATGGCATTGCAAACATCTTGATAGTCTACTTCAGTTAATACAAATGAATTATTCAGTCTTGTTTCATGCAGATGAA